GGAAGCAGCTGTCTCAATGAAAAGTTAGAGATATCTTGAACATTATAGTTGTAATTGTGAATTAATAAATGATGGCGCTCCATATATACATATTTGTGTAGACAAAGGATACTGGCCTATGCTGAAATGTCAAAGTCTCTGCAGAGCACGACACATGGCCAAAAAAGACTGAGACCAACTGACCTTTGACCCTGACCGACAGTGTAACTTGACAAGGCACTGTGAATGACTGACTCTGGGGTGGACCTGACCAAACTTGACTTTACAACCTGACAGTGTGAGTGTGAATGTGAGTGTATGTCTGCATGTGATCAGTGCAACTGCATGATTTAAAACAATGACTAATCAAGCATGTTTTTGGACTAACACATTTTTCTGGGCCTCAATAACATTCCACAGAATTGGAAAACCTCACTTGTGCACTCCCACAGGAGGTGGCAGTTTGCAGAATGTGGAACTCAAACTAAAACATGAAGATTCTGTTTCTTTTAGGACTGAAGGATGGAGAGAAACACTTCATTTCACTGGAGTGTTTACTGTGGAAATGATGGATGTACATTTGGGAAAAAATGTTTGATATTTTCTTAGAATCCATTATTACCTGAAGGTTTTCTTCCCATACAGGATTTTGGTTACACATGAGTCATGTGTAAAAAGGGGGAGTGTACGGCTGCCCCAACTCGATTGTTCAATCTGACCATTGATTGACGGTTTTAGAATTGACCTGCTCCATATCTGGGGATAAGATACTGTTTGGTGAATGTTGACATGTCTCTAATATTGATTGAGTTATAGCAGGTAACACAGATGCAGAATCAGTGGCCAAGGGGCTACTGTGAGAGATGTAACTCCAGAATGGAATACGGAAGAAGTTGACCTGTGAGTAATGTTTCAACAGGTATAAAAGTAACTGAGGTTTGAAATGTAGAAAGAACATATTACAGTTAAAGCTAAAACATAGTAATGTAATGACAGAATTTAATTTAGACAACATCATGTAACTAGCCTGGTAAAGAAGTAAAAGCCATAGACTTTATTGTTTAGGTCATTATGAGGATATACATTTCATCTAAATTTATAAGACATTTGATGACAGTTTGTTGGAATTCTGTATTCATTTTTTCAGCGTGATAATATCTAAGCACTGACAGGTAAAAGCAGTATCACCAGGAAATCATTCACTTTGTTAGTATCGTGATTTTGGTTGTTTTTGAATCCATAACATTAGTGTGTTTCTTTACCAGAAACATTAGCAGTTCATATTAGATTTGGATTTTAAATAGGATCTCAAGGATTTCATTTAAAAATAAACACAGATGCTTGTCAGAAATTCAGAGCTATTGAAATATGTTATTTAGTTTACCTAAAGATGTTGGGGTTCTTATTTAGTTGGCACAATCCAAGTACTAAGATTCTGAAGCTGTACTGGCAGATAGGAGGTCTACAATTAATTTAGAAAACCTGTTCACAGACGGCTGTTGTTTCAAGACACCCCACCAACAGGCTCCAAGTGGGTCAAAACAGCTGAGCGTAGGCTTGAGGGAGTTGTATCAGATTTCTCCACACAGGTTGCTGCCGCCAAAAGGGGGACCCGAGAAGCACGAGGCCGACACAGCGGAGTTCGTCTGGCTGAAAGTCATCAGGACCAAGTGGCTCAACCCCAGGCTCTCCGGCCCCGACCGAGTGACCCAGAGGACATCCCATGCCGTCCGCCTAGAAGGAAAGGGGGACAACTGGTACCACTGGAGCCAGTGTGCGGTCGGGAAAACACCTGCGAGGACCCTAGACGACATCAGGACAGACCTGGCCCTCGTCAAGGCAGTCGACCCGGGAGGCATCATCAGCGGGCCGGAGAAGGAGAATCGGGAAGACATCTCTCCAGCATCGACCCGGAAGCCGCCATCGGCGGGCCGGAGGAGGAGGAGGAGGAAGACATCTCTCTAGCAGGCAGCCCAGAAGCTGCTGTCAGCGGATCAGGGGGACAAAGACACGGCAAGCCAGGACGGCACAGGGGACTTGTCGAGGCAGCAGAGGAGTCTACTTCTCTGATCAGTTCCACCCGTGAAGGGCTAGCCGCATCTCCCCCTCCCTATCAGCTGCCCCTTGTTGGCGTATTCCTCTGAGGGGGGGGGGCTGATGATTCACCACACAAGGAGACTGCACTAGCACCCAGCTGCCCCCTCATGGTTCCTTCACTGCCATGGAAAGTGGTGTTCTGTCTCCATGAAGGTTTCAAGTACTCTAAATACCAGCTTCGGATGGATTTATACAATGTTTGGGGGACGGACACAGTAGAAAAGAATGACAGTGGGTATATGTTTCAAGTGCCTTGTGTAAATTGCACTCTTTTAAAAGAGTGCAAAAGGGGGAATTGCGGAAGTTTATGAAGAGTATTGTGCAGAAGATGTGATGCAGCATATTTTTGGTATATTCATTTTAATCTCACCAATATATAAGAGGTGTATTGCATCATGTTATCCCTAAATATATGTGTGGGTATATACATTCCTGTGTATTAATAGTTGAAGGAACAAAATACATTTTTCCTCTTAAATATAGAGAGGTTTTTTATAGATTCCTGAAACAATGTTCCCTTTTTCTTTAAAGTAGATTAGCGCAATAGTCTTTTTCTTTCACTTATACCCTTTTCATCAAAAGGCTATTTTTGAGGGGTAAAATGCAGAATTACTTGTGAGTTCTGTTTTGAGTGAAAAGATTACCCTTTTGAGTGTTTTTCTTGGTTAACCATTAGATATAGTGGCTAAATTCGTTCTAAGTTAATTATGCGCATCCTGCAGGCCTTGAGAATTTAGTCACACAGTTAAGAGAGACAATGGTCCTTTTAGACTAAGGGTGAGCTTACTTCGGGTGAATAAAAGTTCAGAGATGATTGGGGGGGTATGAAGTTAGGCTTGTTGGTGAGCTAGTTCTGAGGATGTCATGGGATAATGACTGTTATATTCCCAACAAGTATGGCTTTCATAAAGAAACACATGACTTGGGTGATAAGATGTGTTTTGTTGTAAAATGGGCCCGTTTGGTTTTCTGCTGGCCAGCGCTGGGTCATTGTGACAAAGCATATTTTGCGTCTGCCAATGAGAGGACCTGAAAAGATGACCAGCTGACCTCACCCCTTCCTTCTGTCTTCTGGTATATATTCTGTTGATTCCTGAGTTCGGCCTCTCTTCACATGCTGTCAGGACCGGAAGGATCTCCGCAGCACGCGAACCAGGGCAGAAGTGGCCGGCTACTTCTTAAAACATTACAATATGATTTAGTATATTGTATTATATGGTGTTGTAATGTATTATAGTGCATTGTATTATTACCTTTGATAATTAAAACAGATTGTTTAAACTGGTATCTGGGTGTTCTCTGTCTGATTTCCTTCCTGTTATGATTTTAAGCAGGACTCGTCAAAACAACACGCGGAGCCGAGTGGGGTTGTAAAAACCTCAAAACTCCAACACCAGTAATCCTACAAGCTGTCATCACTACCCTCCTGACTGTTCTCCTCACTGTCTTCCTCTCTGTCAGACATGGTAGCTGATGATGTAGGCCTACTTCTTTCTCTCTGGTTGAGTCTGCGATTAGCTGCTTGCATCCACAAGTCAACAGCTGGGTTTGGGTCGAAAGTCTCTGTTGTCATCTTAGACAAGTGGATGTAATCAAATACGTATGTGAACATAACCAATAGCCTACCATAGCCAATAACAAATTAATGTAACTTATTTTATTTGTGTTGTTCATTCATATCTTATTTTACCGTAACATTTATTTATTTATGCATTTTTTTTTTATCTCTCCAGTTTTAAAGGATATTTTTGGTTACTGTCCTATAGTATACATTGGAATGATTTCAAACCTGTTTATCCCAATAATTATAAAGGAGTGCCTTGGAAATATGTGTTTACATAAATTGTGACCAAACCGTTTTAATTTAGACTAAGAGTCCTTTACCTCACTGAGCTGTAGTTAACTTATCAGCCTCTCAGTCTGACTGGAGAGGACTCTCCCTTCACATTATTGTAGAAACATCTTCTTCTTATCTCTGTTAGAGCAGCTAGCACGGCACCAGATTATAATAACAACAGCGCTGGTACCACCCTCCCTCTCTCCCTCGCTTACTCGCATTTTGTCTGTGAGCTGCGGGCGCCAGATAAGCCAACATCCCCCATTTTCATCACTTACAGCGCCCATCGTACAGGGCAAATTAAAGGTGGAACCGGGGTGAAAAGGGTGTTACATTTACTTAATTGTGAATATTGTTATATCAAGGCCGAAAATTAGGATGAGCCCCAACGGTCAAAATGTTTTTTTCCCTCCCAGAACTGCAAGCGCAGCACCTCCCCAGATCTGGCGCCCTAGGCCCTGAGTTCATATCATGGTTCATATGCAACTCGCAAATATCTTTATCTCTCTCTCTTCCTCATCTCTCCTCTATTTTCTATTTTCTCTTATCTCTCTCCCTCTCAATGTTGGTACGCAAATGCGCTTTGTTTCAAATAACCCGGTGCTCTTTTTTTGAAAATGTCAATACTGTTTTTATTCTTAAATCATCAACAAATATAATCATTAAAACAGCCTGACATTTTTTAAAGTAATTCTCATTATGAAGGAATAAGTAACCTGGCTGTTTGATGCAAATTCCGATGCTGGCAGTTCTGATTTCATTGCCAAAATGCTACTGTATGCTGAACTGTGGCATCATTGTTATAGTAAATCCTAATAGAAAATGTAACTTAAGATGTGAAGCCACAAACTGATGGCACTCGGAGCCTGTCTGCAAACAGAGTGATCCAACCTCTCACTGCTCTGGCTCTTTTATACCAGCCTATAAAAGAATGAATGCTGCTCTTATACGCTGTAACTCTACACCACCCCCACGCACACACGCACACACACAAACCTAATGTTGAACTGACAGGTGGAGATAAATGAAGCAGCTTTGTGTAATGACAGGGTATACAAAATAATGGATTTATGCAAACAAGTCTGTATCAAGTTGAAAACTGTTTTTTATTCAGATGTTTATTGCAAAATAGAATCCAAATCTGGCAATAAATAGCTTTATCAAAGCCATGCAAATAAACGTCATTATTAGTTCTGTTATTAAAGAAATGTGTTTTAATCTCATCACAAACTTTCCCTTTTTTCTGTAACACGTTCTAGTGTTTACTTTAAGAGGAGCGGAGTGAACTCTATTATAAAAGAGGGGTCTTTGGTGATCATGTCCACATTGTACACATTCACTTTTATTTCACAAGGTTCCAGGCAATATACAAGCTCATTATCTGCAATAAAGTCATGAAATCCCACACTAAGTATACAGGAATATGGACTGTATGTTATATGTTCGCTCTGTGCTAGCATTCCTCAAAACTGAGACTTAATTTATAAATCCCAACGAGAGACCAAAACTAACAGTGGATTCTTCTTAACAGTTTGTGTATCCAAATGTGATACAATATATGACTCTGAGCCATAGAGCTGCATTAAAAACACATAAATGCACTGGGTGAACATTTTAGATCCCAAATAGACTGTCAAACTGGAGCACCAAATGTGTATTAATGCACATCTGAAATTGTCTCAACTGAACGCACTATTTATTGACAGCAGCAGAAATATAAAATATCTAGTACAACACAAATGTATGTATGGCACATTAAAGGGGTTTCCTCCTATTATACTCTGAAATAATAAATCCTCTAAGATACTTGATGTCACCGTGCCATATTGAGGAGGTCAAAGGTCAACTCTGTGATATCAAAGGCGTGGTGCTGATGCTTGGGGTCGACGAACACCTCTAGACCTCCAGATGTGCCGCTGGTGTGCTGGCTCTGTTTGAGAGCGTCCAGGGTGGAGAAGAGGACTCTGGCCCGCTGCTCCTCTGAGGGGGGGTCCGCCAGGCGATGGGGGGGGCAGCGAGGGCGAGTGGAGCAGGAAATACACGGAGGACATGTAGACTTTGACAAACTCCTGTTTTAAATGGGGCAAGTCTCTCTGCAAACACAAAGAAAGGGACGTTTTAACAGATTATATAACATCAGCGGCGGCCATCAGGCAACAGGGGCCAACAGGTGCCCCCGTAACAGTGACCAGGGACCCCCCCTCCAAAAAAAAGGTTACAATATTACGATTTATTGGAATTAAATCAAATCAGAGACCCGTATGTACAGTGGAGATTAAACTGTTCATTATAAAAGCAAATACTGTTTATTTATTTACTGTTTATGTTTTTTTAATTAAATTGTAACTTAAATGTACTAAAACAAATACCTTTACAAAAACAAATACCAATTACTGTATTTTATGTTTATTTTACACAATTACTTTATACTGTCTTTGTCTTTTTAACCCGCTTTTATTGTGCCCCTCTCATGAAATAACTGGCCCCAGCCTGGCCCCCCCCAGAAACATTGGTCTAGAACCGCCACTGTATAACATGATGTATAGTGACATCGTGATGATATGCACTGGACGCACAAACACTTTTTAACCTTGGGGGAGAAAAGCCACCTAGTTACTCATACTGTCAGCACCCTCTATTGGTATGTCCTGGTATTACACTCATACACACTTACACATTCATATACACACATACACACTCATACACACTGACCTTCTGCGCTCTGCTCATGCTGGTCTCAGCCTCCAGCCAAACACTCTAAAACAAACAAAAAACGATTTAAAAAATTGTGCACAAGTCCTGAGTGATATTGTTTTGTAAATCCAATTATTTTAAAAGCATTGATGTATTCAATATTGTCTGGCTGTAAAAAGAAATGTCGCATAAATCACACTCTTACTCTCACTCTCTGACTTTGCCAAGGCTGAATTTCAGGAGGAAATACAGAACACTTTCAAAAAACACTTTTGCGGTGAAAATGCTCACAAAAAGTAACAAATAACAGAATTATAATGTGGTTATTAGGGGTAAAATAAGATAAGATAAGAGGTACTTTATTACTTTATTAATTTGGGACACAAGGCATTGCACATAATAACAAATCAACAGAGTAGACATAAACAATATAAACATCTCAAAACAGAAATAGAAATAAACCAGCATTTAAGAGTAAGAAAAATATACAGATGACCAGAACGATAAAAACAAATATAAACGTATAAACTAAGTTTGACCTACGAACCCTGAGAGCATCCAGCAGGTCTGGTTGGTCGAACAGCACGGGGAAGGTAGAGAGTATAGGACTGCATATCAGATCTGAAACAAAGAGACAGTTTTTCTAAGAACTATGAATATCTGCAGTTTGGATAACAGGGTCCTGAAGGTGTGTGTTACCTGCGTTCTGCATGGTAGACCTGTCCATCAGGAGAGTGTCTGCCAGCAGCTGCCTGTGCAGAGCCAGCAGGTGCACGCAGCTCAGAGAGTGCAGCAGAGTGTCTGGAAGGATACTGAAGAGGAACAACACACTATTTAAATATAAAGTATATGCAATCTTGGCTGAAGGGAGTGTCTCCAAAAATCTGTGGCAAGTGTATTTTTTGCTGACCCTCCCACCTGAGCTGTGTTCTGGTTCGGCTGTTGGCTGATTTCAACTTTATGATGAGTTTGGGCTGCCGCCGTGCCTGAAGCATCTGCTGGAAAACACTAGCTGGAGCTGAGAGGAGAGGAAAGCAGAGGAGAGGACCAATTATAATTGTTTTTGTTGTTGAACTTTGTCACAGATCTGATTGCTCCACTTACATCCTCTGGTGGCTGCAATCTCCATCGGGACCTCCGCCTCAAATGGAGAGCCACTATTCAGAGTCAGCTCATAGGTCCTGCACACAGATCAGATTAGGTTGGATGAGATTTTAAAGTATTAAGTACACATCACTCACGCAGTGTGTAAGTGTCTATGGCAGTTTTCATTAAAATAATACTGTGGGCACTGAGTGTACCTGTTGGGGAGTGGATTTCCACTGTCGTCGGTCAGTTTTAAATAAGCCCAGCCGCAGCTCAGGTCCCCTCTGTCACCTGTGGACTAAAACACACACACAGAAAATAAGAGATATCATCACTCTCGGCTTTATGGTGTTGATCAACTTTGGAAAGAGGAAAACTGCTTGTCTTTAATGACGAATAAAAAACATCTGAATAGTTTCCTTTGTGATTTCATGGGTCTGATCAGCTTTATCTCATCACTATCGCATGTGTATCTGTTGGTGTGTATTTGTCCTCACATTGCGTATAAAGGTGACTCCAAGTTCAAAGAGGATTCCGAGGTTAGGATGTGCCGAGTTGCAGCGTAGAAAGCAGTCCCCATCGAGGAGGGAAGGTAGGATACCAGTCATCTACAGCAAACAGATTTAAATTCAGCCTTATGCACACGATTACGTTTAAAGCAAAAGTTCAGTTTTTTGAGCATTTCATGTTTATGTTCAAGAGGTGGTTTGAGTAAAGTTCACAAAACAGTGTGTATTTAATTTGTATAATTCTGTTAACATACCCTTGGAGAGAAGCTCCAGGTCTTGGGGCTCTTGGAGTTGTACGTTGCCCTCACAGTGTGGATGTTACTCAACACCTGAAACACAAGCACAGCTCATATGAAAAGTCTATGACAAACCAAGAAAGTGAAAAGTAAGAAAATCTATTGTTGTATTTTTATGATTCTACTACTGTATTTCCTTACTGCAGAGACCTTAGTAGCATAAGGAAGTAAAACAATGCAAAATGCTGGCGATACAACAGAAATAACCCACTTGAGTTTTATCAAAGGCACAGAGGCGGATGTGTCTGCTGAGGACTTGAACTCCGACCCCAGGAGTTGGAATCATCTTGCAGCTCCACAGACTGAAACAAAGGCAAGTCTGGACCTGCCGAGCACGAACCTACGAGACACAACGGGACGCTGATCAGGAACCACAAATATGAAGTGTTTATGTGAATGCTCTGGAGTATGTCACAGGAAGACTGTCTCACCCTGCCAGTGTCTGGATCCAGGAAGAGGTCACTAAAGGAGAGCTGTGATTGGCTGAGCTCCGGCTGGACGTAGTGACTTCCTCTGTATGTTTGACCTGAGAAAAGACACAAAGAGTTAGTGCTTTGCGTTGTGTAATGTACAGTATTTAGTTAAGAGTACTGGTACTAATACTGACTGGCACATAGTGGTTGTGGTAGACAAAACAATATATAGGCATACCTTGCTTCGTGTGAATGTGTGTGTTTTGTGTGCTTGTTAGAGAGTGTATACTGACCTTCCTCCTCCAGCAGTTTAGTGAGATGTGATGTTCCGAATCCGGCAGGTATAGCCCCCAATGCTGAGAGCACATCTGTTGCATCGAGCTGTCACATACACACAGTGAAAACTATAAATATATTGCATAAGCAGTTCACGTGTTGTGGATTTATTTTTGTCGATAGGAAAATTAACAGTATGATCACTACAAGAAGCAGGAGTTTGTGGATATTTACCCCACTCAAAGCCTTTTTGACTGTACTCCAGTTGGAATGAGTACTGTTGAAAAAGAGAGACATTTTAATGAATAATGAATTGTAAGTATTGCAGAGAGGTCTCTAATTCCACTACAGCAGCTAAAACCATAAACAGGTTTCTTTAAAACACAACCCTGCAGCCGTATATCTACAACAAGCATGGTTACCTCGGTTTCTCTTGATCATCAGCCAGCTCTTCACCGTCTTCCTCCTCCTCAGATTCCTCCTCATCATCATCGTCCTTTTCATCATCGTCGTCAACACCAGAGCCAATCTGAAAGATATGGGGTTTTAACTGCTAGAGACCTAAAGTTTAATATTTTAAATGAACAGTGCAAGGATGTTTAATGTGATGCAGGTGTGTAGCAGGTTGTGTACCTTCAGGTAGGTTTTTGGAACCAGCCCTGTGTTGCCTTTAGTGTCCTGAGCCAGCCACCATCCATCTGCTGTCTTCCTGATGATCTTCAATATCTCCCCCCTCTGAACGAAGCAGATAAACACACAAGTCATATAACGTCAAATACTCATTCATCAAGTGTTTAGTTGACATGATTGTCAGTTATACTTATATAACGTATTGCTTTTTATTCATTCTACCGTGTTGTGTAATGTTTATTTATACTGTTCATGCTCACTACTTGTAGCACTTCGGGATTTGAAATCAAATATGAAGTGCTTTATAAATGGAACCCATTATTATTATTATTATTATTATTATTATTATTATTATTATAATACTTGATTTTCTTCACTTACACATCAGGGCAATCAACAGATCAGCCTACTACCATCTAAAAAATATCTTGCGTATTAAATACCTTATGTCCAAGCAAGACCTTGAAAAATGTGTCCATGCATTTGTCTTTAGCAAGCTTGACTACTGCAACAGCATCTTCACAGGCCTCACAAAAAAATCCCTCCGTAAACTCCAACTAATTCAAAATGCTGCTGCCAGAGTCTTAACCCGGACAAAGACAATAGATCACATCACTCCAGTGCTGAGATCGCTGCATTGGCTTCCAGTTAGTGAGAGAATTGATTTTAAGATTTTATTGCACACATATAAAGCACAAAACGGGCTAGGACCCAAATATATCAAGGACCTCCTTCAGTGGTACGAACCCAGCAGACCCCTTAGGTCTTCAGGCGCAGGCCAGCTCACTGTTCCATTGGTGAGATCAAAGCGTGGGAAAGCAGCCTTCTGCATCTATGCTCCTAATGCATGGAACAAACTCCCAGAACATCTGAGAATGGCTAGCACTTTAGAATCATTTAAATCAGGTCTAAAAACATTTCTTTTTAACATGGCTTTTAAAATTTCCTAATTTTCGAACTGTTAAACATTGTTTTCTTTCTTTTAATTATTTTGTGTGTTTTTGTATTTCTTCTCACTTTGACCATCGTAACAATGTATTGTGTTTTATCTGTTTGATCCTGTAAAGCACTTTGAATTGCATCACTGTATGTATTGTGCTATACAAATAAATTGCCTTGCCTTGCCTTATGATTTTGGGGCATGAGCCCCCTCTTCTGGTAACAGGGTGTAATAAAATGCAATTTTTAAGATGATAGAAAAAAATAGGAAAGCAAACTTCTCACAGTTTACTTTGTAAGCACTGTATTTAAGGACAGGTCATTACACTTTTCTTTGGATGATTATCTTTGTCTGTCTTTCAGTGAAGAAGGTTTAGAAATATGTTTTAGACATCATGGTAATAAGACATGTTGGCAGTGGCAGGGATCCAAGTAAAGTTCTCTGCTCCTAAACCTGTTGATTTCATTAAGTTCAGTATTCTGTATGAATCAGTAAGTACTTCACCTGCACAGACAGATCACCCTCCTGTTCTCCTTTGAAATCACTGAGGGCTGTGTACATTTGAGAGGGAGTTTTCACAGCTTGATTCTCAACTTCATCATCGTCATCAGTATCCTCGTCGCTACTGTCTTCATCATCATCTTCGTCCTTATCATCATCATCATCGCTATCTTCCTTTGAGGAATCCCTGTGGATCAAAACGTAAGTAACATAAAAAAAAGTGATTTAAATCAAATGTCCTTTTTAGCTAAAAATCACTGAGCTTTAGAGTTAAAATGTACCTGATGTGACTTATTTGACTTATTTGTATCAATACTTTGAAATAGATGTTTCTCTAAAATTCTTTGACAAATAATACATTTAGCCACTGCATCAAATGATATGATACACTGTGTATAGTTGGATAAAAAAAGAGAAATCAAGCAATACTATAGTTTTAGACTGGATTAAACGCTATTTAAGCTATTTATGTAAAGATGGGAAATGACTGTTCTTCATGTTTGGACATTGCTTGTGGTGTCCCCCAGGGGTCAGTGTTGGGTCCTAAATTGTTTATACTGTACATCAATGACATCTGTAGAGTATCCAATGTACTGAGGCTAGTTTTGTTTGCTGATGATACAAATATATTCTGTTCTTGGGAGAATTTAGAACAGCTAGTGGAGAACATAGAAAATGAAATGTACAAATTAAAAACATGGTTTGACAAAAATAAACTATTATTAAACTTGAGTAAAACAAATGAATGCTGTTCGGTAAACATAGAACAAAAACACAAATGCAAATACAAATAGATGGGGTTGAAATTGAAAGAGTCCATGAAATTAAATTTCTTGGGGTAATAATAGATGACACAATAAGTTGGAAATTACACATAAAACATGTACAATCAAAGCTGTCAAGAAGCATTTCAGTACTAAACAACGTAAAACAAGTTCTAGATCAGAAATCACTTCGCATTCTCTACTGTTCACTAGTCTTACCATATCTGAATTACTGTGCTGAAATCTGAGACAATAACTACAAAAGTTCTATACATGCAGTATCTATTCTACAAAAAAAATCCATACGAATCATTCACAATGCCAAATACCTTGATCTAACGAATTATTCCTGCAGTCAAAATTCACAGAAATAAATGTATCAATCAATCAATCAATCAATATTGAATACTATGGTATTTCTTTTTGTCTTTGCAGTGACTGACCCTGCAGCAGTACTGGGTCCTGCAGGTGAGAGCTCCAGAGACAGTGTGGTTACACGCTCCAAGATGTCCTGCAGCCGCCTCTCCTCTTCCTGTTTCCTCTGATCATAGTTCCCCACTGGAGCCAGCTCATCCGCCTAGAAAATCAGGCAACAAATTACAAGCTAGAAATCATTTTTGTAGACTCATTTACTGAAAAGAGCACGCTATATAGCTGCTGGTGACAGCTCAGACTAATTCACAATCTACTAACAGTAGTACAGCACCAACCTTGGTCAGTTTCATCAGTGTTCTTTGTGTCTTCTCTGCTGACATTTGCAGTTCTTGACATCTGTTTGAATTGGACAATTAGACACTATTATTAGAATCAAAAGTAGGAGCAGAAGCAGAGTAAATCCATGTGCTTTAAATAGTTGTCTTAATAGTCTGGATGTGGATCATATACTGGGGTTAGAAAGAATCAAACTAGGAAGCACTGAGGTGTTTACCTCCGAAATGCTTCTTCAGTGTATCCATTCCCACTCTCCACGTCCTTCACAAGACTGTCAACCTAGATTATAAAAGAAAAAGAAGAGTAATTGAAAGTGAATGAGGGGTGTTGACAACAAAGTGAGGTCCAGGTTTAAAAAGCATCTGCATCAGCACACTTCTGTTAACCACATAGCTCAGAACTGTTCTATATTCTGGATGTTTTTGTAGGCAACAAAACAACAGAGCAGCCTATGAGCCTTTAATTTGAATGTGTGAACAAGTCCAAGCTCAACCAAGATCCTATGCTCCTAACCTAACTTCCTTTCAATTCTGGCTTATTCATGTTTCCCTACTCCTTGGCAGAGCATGTTATTGTCCATATATCTGGGCACTTATTTAGTGCATTGTAGAGAATTCGGCATTCACTTCATGAACCAAAAAGCATGTACTATAAGGCAAATGTAAACCTTTACCTTTGTTTACATTGCTAACTACGACCAAACGAGGTTCATCTTCAGTAGGAAACTGGAAAGGTATGATGGCACAAAGCACATCGGTAAGTAGAATGTTGAGCCCAAGCCTTACAGGATAACTCTATTTGCAAATCGGTTGGTTTAGTGATAATGTTACTACTAAAACAGCCTCTCTCTTCAGTACGTTAATACACTGTAAATCTGGCATCCAACTCAAAACTGTTGTGCACTTCAAACTTCAACTCGAAAAACACACAAACAATCGCCCTTCAGTAACCAACCTGTTTTTTGATTTCGTCCACTTCTCTCTGGACGAGCTGCAAAGGTCCTTTTCTTCTCGGTGGCATTTGTACGGAGTTTTATGGAGCATATTTCATGTGTTAGCACATTACCTAGTTAGCTAGCAGACGCTACTCTTCCACTGGTCGCTAGGCAACATGTTTTCTCTTCAGGCTTAGGCTGGAATGGATTTATCGTTTTTTATTCATTATTTTTTTGAATATTCTTTATTTTTTGTTTGTATAATTATATTACAAAACAGGTTTCATGTATGTGTTTTAATATATGAATAATTATGTTATAATTTTAAATACATCTTGAAAAATCTGACGTACTTCCTTCCGGATGTGTCATTTTTGTCAGGGCGTTACTGCAACCTACTGGACTGGAGGATTGAGTTGCTTAAATTGGTGTTTAATTAAATGAAAAACACTATATATATATTCAATGTCTGTATGTACTGTATATTGAATAAAATGGGATGTAGTTCCACATCTGGTCAGTGCACAGCGCAATGTTATGCACAGTCAGACACATGCATTGCAGAGTTGTGTAAGTGTCTTCCTTATGACCTACAGAGGGCGTACTTTGACTGTTGTGAAACATGCTGCATTCAGTGTCCCCTCGTTTGCTTCCTATTTGAATTTCGTAGAGTTTCTTAAAGTGGAAATTATGATTTCATAGCACATTATCAGCGCTGCTCTAAATAACTATTATACAAGTTGTTAACGTGTGTTTCCACAAGACATTTGTTAGTATATTTCCTTGCCTTTATTCCTGAAATTATAAAATCACGACGTTTTGGGTGTACGTGAAGCCAGCAATAGGCTACAACTGCTCTCCATCGCCTCCAGTGTTTGTCACTTACCTGTCATGGCTTCACGTGTGGCTCTCATTCAAGGGGCAAGCAGAGGACTGGGGCTTGAATTTTGCAAACATATCTTAAAAAACAAAAGCCCTGCAGCCGTTATAGCGACATGCAGGAACCCGGACGGAGCGACCGAGCTGCGGGCACTGGCAGACCAACACCCGGGCCAAGTGACGGTCCTCAGGCTGGACGTGAGCCGGGAGGAGGACATCCGTGGAGCTGCTGACCGGGTTAAGGAGAGCTTCGGTCGGCTGGATCTGATCGTCAACTCTGCGGCCATGCTTCATCCCTCTGGAAAAGGAGAGACCAGTCTGAGAGAGGTCACTGCCCAGGTAAACCATGAACATATGGGAGTATGGGCTGCTCTCCCTCTCCCATCATAAAAAGTGAAATAAAAGTGAGGTTCTGGCTCAGAGGCGGATTTAGGATTGTAGGAGATCCGGGGCTTAGCCCAGGAGTCGTTGGGTTGGGGGGGGTGCAGGGGTACAGTGCTATTTTTTATAAGTGGGGGGTGGACCGAACTTCCTTTAGGGGGGTCGTCGCCTCCTCTCGGGGGTCCGGGGGCATGCTCCCCCGGGAAGATTTGTTTTTAAATATTGAAGTTGAAAGCATCAATCTGGTGCACTTTGAGAGCAACATTAACCCTACCTTAATAACACCTTAAAGGGGACAAAAGGCACTGGAGAACACTCATTAACACCCTTTTAATGAAGCAAACTAATGCCTTAACTCACTCAAATAGTCGTTTACTTATTAAGGTGAAACGAATGTGCGTAGAGTTTTAAAGGATGTGGATAGTCTCACCTTGATTCTGGTGCATTGCTTATCGTTTTATAGATCTATTCTCATCCACCATCTTTGTTTGTGACGTAAAGAGTATAATGGCGCATTTCCACTGCAGCGGGTAGCCCCGTTTAAGCGTCATTAACCGTCCTCAAGCGGCCAGGCCAGTTTTTGGTGACCTTTCCATATAGCCTAGTACCGGCTAGCGGGTACTTTTTCCCTCTTTTTCCGGCCCCATAAAATCGTGGTTCTATCAGCCAGGGCTGAACTAGTGACGTTAACACTCTCGACTGCTGATTGGTCAGAGAGAATCGTCACAAGATCGCGCGCGAGTTCATCCCTAGCGTCGCATATATATTTAGAAGCAAGCTTGCAGCATTTTTATAAACAGCATTTTGTAAACGGATGAGCTACAAAAATGGCTACGTCTAATAAGAAAAGCACACCGTGGTCGACCGAGGAGGTGATGACGTTCCTACATCTCATTGGGGATGATCAAATCCAGCGGGAGCTCGACGGAACAACTCGAAATGTGAACAAAAACCAAGCCGATCGCCCCGCCTACACTGCGTTGCTACCCCAGGTCCTAAACTGTAATGGAAATGCGCCACGGCCTCGGACGGCCAGCGAGGCAGCCCGAGGCCTGAGCGAGGACGCTTAGGGACGCTTAAACGGGGCTACCCCGTTGCAGTGGAAATGCGCCATAAGAGTCACGTTTCTGAATCGGACACTCTGAGTGGATGCAGTCACAGCCAATCGGAGTCTGATTCAGAGGGTTGCCTGTTAGTTCTGTTGTTATGTGTACTGAAACGAGAGCCGGTATAATTCCACGCGTGAAAACAAAATACAAATTGGAATACGTTATTTTAGTGTCTTAAAAGTAGACTGAGTTATGAAGGGTTAACGTTACATGTTAGGATAATTTTTAGTCATGTTCTGTATACATACTAACATATAAGGGTATACTTAGTGTGGTTACTAGCTATAACATTAACGTTACATCACTCTTTTTCACTTCTTACTCAGTCAGCCAGAGTGCAGATATCACCATTAGATTAACAAACCTGAAACATCATCCATTTCTTGACTGCTGGTGATGACATTGTTGTCAGCTGCTGATACTGCTGCTGCTGCAGCTTGTGGCGCCGGCTGCTTCAATGACAATAACTTTCTAATATCCATAACTGTATAGGCTATTAGATTAAAACTCGTCAGGCACTAGGAAGGATCACTTCTTCTTCAGGGCAGGCTACGCAGTACGCAGGCTAATGTCCCGGAGTGGCTGCCTCTCTGGTGGACTCTGGTACTGCACATTACTCCAGAGACGTTTTTTTTTTTTTAAGTGAAACATCCGGGGCTTTTCAGAAAACATCCGGGGCTTGAGCCCAAGTAGCCACCCCCTAGCGCCGCCACTGTTCTGGCTCATGGGATGCATACTAAAAGTCTCAAACCTCGTTAACTAATCTCGTAATTTGAGGGAGCCTACCTATTAGTAGATATATAACAATTTGGGGAAACACAATTATCTTGGGTGAATAGTTAGTATCTGACTTTCAAATCGGCTTAAATGCAATGTAAACAGCAGGCCATTAAATGTTAACTTTACCTGCTTTGTATTGTTAATTGACTTTAAAATACACCACAGAAGAGGACAGAAGGAGGCAGTGGCAATGAATTCTGAAAATATGGATTAGATTACAGGTGTTGATGCTTGAGAAGGTTTGAAAGTCATCATACTTTCGCCAATGTTTTGTTCCAATAGATGTGTTGGATAGATGTGTGTACTGAGTGGGTTTGATCCCTCTGTAATAAAAAGTAATTTTTCTATTCTGGTTCTTACACTAAATGTATTCTTACCATCCCATAACCTGTGTGAATATCCAGTGAACCACAGTCACCCATTCACATCCATTCATGCACCATTGATCTGTTTTGATTGACTTTTTTTCTCCTTTCAGGGCATAATTTCCACCCTGACGACCAACACAGTGGGTCCCCTGGTCATGGCCAAGTATTTTGCCCCCCTCCTTCAGAAGGGTGGAGGTAGTTTCGGTCAACAGCCTGCTGAGAAAGCCAAGCAGCACAGCGGCATCATCGTCAACATTACCGCCAAAGTGGGATCGATTGGCGACAACGGTGGGTATTGTGCTACTGCTGGATACTCTGTTGTGTTCATGTTAATGTCGTAAAGTATGATTTAATTTGTGCTACTCAAATATGTTTTCCCTTCTCCATCCTCCACCTCCTTTCCTCCTCTCAGGTCTTGGTGGTTGGTACAGCTACAGAATGTCCAAAGCAGCTCTTAACATGGCGACCAGGAATCTGTCTATAGAGCTGGGACGCAGTCGACCAAAGGTACAGGTTTGACTGTTGACTGAAAATGTTATATTTTTGTATTTCTGATTTATTAAAACCAAATATTAGTACCTCTCTTTCAAGACTAGCTGCGAGAACATTGGAAAAGGGGATGCATGATGCCCTTATACATGCATATAAATCCTTAGCCTATATATTTCATAGAGTACATTTTTCTTCATCTTTATTTTATCAAGAAGTAGCCCTGATATTAAGATCTTGTATTCCAAGAAAGGCGAAAGTACAATACATTTTCACAAGAACACAATAGCAAAAAAGAAACAGAACTACACAACAACAAGGAATATAAACAGTTTCAAGAATAATGTACCAATATCAGATAATAAATCTTTCAAATCTTTTAAAGTTGCATAGCACTTGAAACCAGTTCTGAATTTAGATGTATTTTTTACTGGGTCTTGTTCTGTAATCACTATAATGAAATGTATATGTTTGGAAGCTTCAATAATCTAACATGAGATAAATTGTGTCTGTTTTTTTCCAGGTGGTGTGTGTGTGCTTACATCCAGGAACAGTCAACACAGACCTCTCCCGGCCATATCACAGGAATGTACCAAAAGAGAAGTTGTTTAGCACCGAACAATCTGTAAGCGCTCTGATGAACATCATAGAGACACTGAGTATTGAGAAGACAGGAAAAGGCGTACAACTGGGACGGGACTGAACTTCCTTGGTAGAAACAGTAGATGGACAAAGAGAGATTAATTGTTTTACCTCTCTTCTTGGTGCTAAATCTCTCAGTGCTTTCAAGACTGTGCAACAAGCTGAACTTATAAGGACATTCCTAGTGGAATGAAAGACAACCTCTTTCAACTTCCTCAGAACCAGACAAAGTGCTTAAATCATCTTTAATATTATCCTGTTCATGATGTGGATTTGACACAATATGTATTAATGATGTAATGTAGCACAGTGAGTTTCTCCCTGTTTCCGGTATTTGATTTATGCTAAGCTAACCACCGCTTACTTGTAACTTGAGATACTGATCCTCTCATCTTACATGCTGCCAGAAAGCAAATAAAAGCATATTCTGAAAAAGTTGAATTATTTCTCAAGTGTAACACCTAGACGGAGTTCCACATATTCTTTGTTGTGTTGCATGCAATATTTTTTAATAAAATCTGATTTTTCTCGTCACATTAGACAGCTGAATTATGTGTCACATGATCAAATCTTCAGTGTTTGGTTTGAGTAAAAGACACAAGCAATTACCCACAATCATTGACCAAGCAGCAACTGTGTGGGACACAGAGGGAACAGCTATGCGATCAATGTGTGTGATTCTTTTAGTGGGTTTTAAATGATTTCCATTTGATTTTCCTCTAATTCTAAAATAGCATTTTTGTCCTTTGATATCAAATGTGGGATTGCATTTACCCTTGCAGGCCTTTTTATTAAGTGAGTCACATCCAGTCACAACACTGAAGAAAAATCAATGTATTTTTTCATTAACTATATGTCTTTGGATAACTTAGGAAAAAATAAAGCCCATATCACTGGAATTAGTCCTTTTTTAAATAAAGAAGAGTTACTTATTTTTCAGTCATGAAAACAGGTAATATAACATGTTTCCTGTAGATACGTGCTTTCTGGAGCATACAAACATTGCATCCTTATGAAGAAGAAGAGGAGAGATTTTAGTAACAATAAAAGGTTTACCGCATTCACACCAACATTAGCCTACCAGATTAATTGATTTGAGTATTATGATAGGCATATGGTGCAAAAATTATTATAAAAGTAGCCTATTTATTAGACTATTATAAAGAAGAACAACATTTATTTAAATTACTCAGTAATTAGAAAAGTATCTTGGTACAACACAGACAATGACTTGTTACCAGAAGATGGCAGCATTGCAAGAGTCCATTGCTATTCACAATGTGCATTCATGTCTTTTAGTGTCAGATTCTGACATTATAGGAATTCAGTCTTCATTACAGAATATTTTCCAGTGATTGATAATGTTTGCTGAAGTGGAAACAGTAATGCATACAATGATAGTTAATTAGTGATTGAGATTGAGAGTAGGTCTCGTCAATGGTCCTAGTTTCTTTATCAAGCTGAAATTGTTGTTTGATCTTTGTATCTTCACTGTGCTTCATCCAATGCTCTGTTGATATCAGGTATCTCTTAAATAATTATATCAAGTGTGTCCTTTTAATACAATCTTATTTCAGTGGGACTTAAACAAGTATTTTTATTTGCTATGTCATTAAATCAAATTATATTTTTAATTTAATTGTGGCCATATTATAGCCCACGGAAACCAGAAAGCTACAACAATTAAAAATGATTTTCAGGATGACGATCTTGCAGAGCAGAAAGACAAATAAAGACATAGACGAGGTTACAAAAGTTCATTTTGGTGAGCTCATGTTGACAAGCAGCTTTGTGAGCACCTCACACGTGTACAAAGGTATAAAGCTGATGGGATTGACAGCAAGAACCGACTTTAATAAATAAAGAGACCACAGCTGCACGAACCTGTACTGTGTAGGCTATCTTATACTAAATCCAGCAGGGATGCAACCGAACTTCACTGTTGTTATGTTGTGTAGATAATGTTGTAGACATTTATAGACGAGTCCTCTCTTGCATATCTTTGTGTTTAAGGATACAATTAGGGTGTACTGTAACGGTGTTTTGCAGAGACAAGAGAAAACCGGTCGGAGGAGGAAAACGGGTTCTCTGCTGGAGCTGCTGTGTCGTCACTCACTCACACAATATACCGGCTGCTGCTGCGCCTACCAGCGGATCTGAATATGTGGGGAAATGACCGAGAGTGACCTCAGAGGAAACACTGTATTTTAGTGTCCGTTCGCCTTATCATTTTATACTTCATTCAGAGCAGTAATGAACGTCATATTTTAGCGTTATATCACTGTGTGAAATACGTTGCATTAGTGGAAGGATTCGTTAGCTGCCGTGTCACTAACTTGAAGACAGCGGGGGCTAACACAGGCTAAGCTAAGCTACGGTAGCCGGGATTGTCAACGCTAGCGGCGGGGCTTGTACATTTGTTTTCCTCCCTGCAGATGCTAGGCTAGGCTAGCTGCTGCCATGGATAAAGCCAAGTCAATGATGGACAAGAAAGGAGCGTCGGGGCCCTTTCATGTCACCAACGGACAGGCATTTCACGCTAACGGTAGCTGCTGCAGTGGCTCCACATTCAGCTCCAGCTCCAGCTCTGGACCCAACAGCAGCTCCAGCCCCAGCCCCAGCAGCAGCAGCAGCAGCAGCAGCTTTGAGGCCAGCATGCACCACCTGCACCGCGGGGAAGATGCAGAGTGCAACGGGTCCCCGGCGAAGAGATGCAGGCTACGGAAAAGGACAGAGTCGGTGAGACGGAGCAGACCCCGTAAGTGTCAAACAGTTTGGGGACATTCGACAATTATTATTTTTGCATGTTCTGACATTTTTTCTGGTGGTGGAAGGAAGCGGTGGTGTGTTCTATTTTGTTGTGTATATGCTGCAACCATGGACTGTGTAACACTTACATCAGCAGGGATTTGCACAACTATGCCCTTTTTACAACAAGAGAGCAACAACCTTTGATTCTTCTTTTACTCCCCTTTTTATTTCATTGTTCTTTATGTTTTGAGATGACCATATTGTCCTCTCATGACTCCCTTTTTTCCATCATGTTATATGGTTAGGAGATTGATGTGTCCAATCTACAAGCCTGCTGTCGTCAGGGAGACCCTCTTTTGTTATTATGAACCTTCAGTTTGCATTTCTTACGCTGTGATTGGTTGGTCGCCCGCTGGTGAAAAAGCTCCTGATAAGTGGGACTGGCTTGCTTCAGCCAATCAGCACTTGCCTCTTGTCTTCAGGAGGCAGAAGGACCCCACCCCCTTATTTACTGAGTATTCCGGATGATGTGAGTAAAGATCATCCGGGAAAACTTGGACGTTTCTGCGCAGAATGTAGAAAAGTGTCATTTCTTAAGGGTGTGAAGCCTCTTTAAATACCCAAGACCGACTGACACCTTCTAAGCTTTTAAACGACACTTTGCTTTATTTCCTTTTTGATTAGTTTTTTTGTATACATCTGTGAGCTGATATTTTGCCTCACTATGAAGCTTATAAGTGAAAAGAAACCTGGTAAGTGTGAGTTGGTTTTTTTTCAATTGTATTCAGAACAGTGGTGGGGAAAGTATTCACATGTTTTGGTTAAGTTAAAGTAGAAATACCACAGTGCACACATCTTCTGTTAAAAGTGAAATTCCTGCCTTGTCATGTTACTTGTTATGTAAAAACTTCAAAACGATTAGCATCAAAATATACTCAAACTACATGTAGTACAATTAATCATTAACAGAATGGTATACTTCAGAATAATTGACTGAATATGATTTTACTGAATGATCATTACTGATGCATTTATGTGAACATTGATTTAATATTTGTATCTGGTAAGGGTTTTGCTAATTTAATCACATTATTGCTCATCATTCAGTTTGCAAAGTAACAAGGAACCAAAGTCAACAGTAAATGTAGAGGATTAAAGTACACTATTTGCCTTTTTAATTGTAGTGTCGTAAAAGTAAACAGAGTACAGAGTATATGCTAGTAGGCTACATTAATTACTAAATATATAGTGTTATTGATGTTCCACAACTGATCGAAAGTCTAGGTATTAAAACGGAGAAATAATTAAAATGTCTCTACTTCTTTTATTGTCTTTAATGTCTTAAGTTATTTTGCAGGCAGCTGATTAGTGTTTATGGCTGGGAATGTCAGTGTAGTAGTCCTCATGGCCTGTTTTTCATGGCTGTTCAGTCAAAGCCCTAGGGTTTGTTGTGGCTGAGTGTAGCTGTCATGGTAAAACTCATGTTGTTAAAATGTCTGCAGAGAAACCAGCTGCAAGTCTAGTGGCCTTGTTGCTAAGTAATCCCATCAGCATTCCTAAAGAAATCTATCCGTAATTGTTCTAGGGAGAGACTGAGAAAGAGAGGGCAGAGAGGAGACATCCTTTTCAGTTTCTGCTTTCAAGGAAATTTACGTAACTGCCATGGTCTCTTGTGAGAAGAAGCCTGCATAATGCAGTATTGATCCGAATCTGAGCTTGCCAATAGTTAACTAAGATGTTATAGTGTCATTCTAAACAATCAAAATTCTATATATAGTTACATCGATATTGTGATAATGTTGTGGTATTTGCTGCATACATCAATAACTGCATGTCACCTACACATACTCAAAAGCATTATTCATTTATTATGTTGCTCCAACTAAAAGGTTGTATGACTATATATTGCATTTCTAATGATCCTCCTCTTTAGATTGAATCCTTTCTAATTTTGTTAAGTGTATGTTTACCGACAGCACTTAATCTTAGTCTGACCAGAGGCCTGTACTACGAAGCAGGATTTTCGCTTAGCGGGCTAACTTCAGGGAAAACTCGGGGTTTCCGGTCCTACGACGCTGGTTCTCTTTTTAGCGGGCTAGATCTCCATGGTAACTTATGCTGAACAGCTAGCCTGCTCCGGAGCAGGTTAGGTTGCAGGATAAGAGATCAACTCAGTGAAAGCACCGCCTGCTGACCAATCAGAGCTCAGTGTGTGGAGTTTAAAGCTATCAAGTAATATTACAGGAGAAAGGAAATACAGTTTAGACTGCCGTTGCAGGAAAGACGGCCGGCAAAAATCACCGACTGAACGTGAAAATGAATAGAATATCACCTCCCATCTTCAGAGCAATCTGACTAATATAACTTTAGCGTTAAGAAAGCTTACTTAAATATCTGCCACAACATAAGTAACCGGATCAAAGTAACATTACGTACAGTCCGCGGCACTGAGTGCAGACGTCAATGTGTCCCATTATCATTCATATCACATCATAATGTATCATATATCTCCTTATCTGAGTCAGCTGAGCCGTATCTGGCCGTGCAACACTTACAGTGTCACAATACTGTATGCAGAAGTATTATTTTAAGCAACACATTAAGTTGACGAAACACTCGAGTCAAATGTAATTAAAGTCAGATCCACTCGTGTCTTAGTGATATCAGTGATATCATAAAACTGTTAACGCATTCAAACACTTTTTCTTTTACCAGCTGTATTCACCTTGCAGGTGCAACTGCAAAGGCTGTTTAAAGTTTAACGTCTTCATATTTGTCTAATA